TTAGAAGACAGAACTTAGAAGACAGAACCTACACAGAACCTAGAGACAGAAGAACTTCACTGGAGAGAACATGGCAAAAGATCCTGGACAGAACCTAGCTACAGAACTTGGTTGGAGAACCTAGACAGAACCTGGCTGAAGAACCCGGCTACAGAACCTGGCGACCGAACCTGGCTAGAGAACCTAAACCGAACCTGGCTGGAGAACCTGGCTGGAGAACCTAGCAAGAGAACACGGACACAGAACTTGGCTGGATATTGTGGCTAGAGATCCTGGCAAGGCTGCTGATCAACTGAACACTGTCTCCGTGTCATTCCTTCTTCGCCGACTTCGTCCACACCTTTGGGAACCCCTGGACCCGCTGGGGTCAGACCCCGGCAGAGACCATTACGAAATTAACCATGGAGACTGGCGGGGACTGGGTGGCTCTCCTTCCATATGCCCTTTACCGGGTGAGAAACTCCCCTTACACCCTGGGTCTTACTCCCTACAAGATCATGTTTGGCAGACCACCCCCTATTGTTCCTAACCTTAAAGCTGAACTCCTAGCTGAATTTGAAAATCAAGAAATATCTTTTCTCTTAAGAGGACTCCAGAGGGCACACGAGGACATTTGGCCAAGCCTCCGTGCCATCTATGAGGCTGGCCCGACCCCGACGCTTCATCAGCACAGACCGGGAGACTGGGTGTTCGTCAAAAGTCACCGCCGGGAGACCCCTGAGCCACGTTGGGAGGGCCCCTACATCATTGTGCTGACTACACCCACCGCTCTCAAGGTAGACGGCATCGCAACCTGGGTCCATCACACCCACGTCCACCCAGCTGACCCCTCTGCAGTCCAGGAGAACTTCATCATGCGATGGAGCATCGATCAGGATCAGCGCAACCCGCTCAAGCTCAAGCTACAGTGCGTATGACCCGCCTGATGTTGGTAACTCTGTTTTTTTTTTTTTTTAATGATACATTTTATTTTATTTTTTTTAAATTTTTTATTACTAAGGGTATTACATATGTGTCCATTTCCCCCCCGCCCTAGACAGTCCCCAAGCCTCCCCTATTCCCCAGTGTCTTATGTCCATTGGTTATGCTTATATGCATGCATACAAGTCCTTTGGTTGATCTCTTACCCCCCTACCTCCCACCCCCCAACCCTCCCCGGCCTTCCCGCTGCAGTTTGACACTCTGTTTGAGGCCGCTCTGCCTCTGTATCTATTATTGTTTAAAAGTTTATAATGGTCTCAATTATCCATGAATAAGTGAGATCATGTGGTATTTTTCCTTCATTGTCTGGCTTATTTCACTTAGCATAATGCTCTCCAGTTCCATCCATGCCGTTGCAAATGGAAAGAGTTCCTTCCTTTTTAGAGCAGCATAGTATTCCATCCTGTAGATGTACCACAGTTTTCTAATCCATTCATCTACTGATGGGCACTTAGGCTGTTTCCAGATCTTAGCTATGGTGAATTGTGCTGCTATGAACATAGGGGTGCATATATCCTTTCTGATTGATGTCTCTGTTGACTCTGTTCGCTGTCACCCACTCTGCCGGGAGTCCTCACATTCCTTACAATCTTACCTGGCAGATCATAGACACCAGTTCGGGGACCGCACTTAATCAGACTTCCCAGTTGCACCCTAAAGACACTTGGTACCCGGACCTTCTTACTCTCTTTCCCAACATAATAACTGCACATACTTATGAAGATTTTGATGGGCCGAACCTCTTGGGGCCCAAGAACTTTAGACAGTTCCATTTCTACGTCTACCCTGGGCACTCATGGGGCCACATCCAGGACTCATGCGGGGGAAGGGGGAATACTTCTGCACCTCATGGTCGTGTGTCTCAACCGGGAACATTTGGTGGGCTCCCCCGAGAGCTGATGACCTAATAATCATGACACGGCCAGGGGCGCCACCTTGCCCTGAGGGATTCGGGAGGTATCTTTGTAACCCCGTACGAATATCCTTCATGGAACAAGGGAAAAGGGCAACAAAATGGGACGCTGGAAAAACTTGGGGAATCAGACTTTACAACAGGGCGGGAGACCCGGGAATGCTATTTACTCTTCAAGTGCAGGCAGCACCCCCTCACCAGCAGACTCCCGTAGGAATAGGACCTAACCAAATACTTGCCCCACGACCTGCTCCCACCCGGGTGCGGATCCCGGCCTCCCAGCCTTCTGCATCCCCTGTTTCTGCTGGGGCACCTCCCACCCCAAGTCACTCCCTACCGTCTAATGCAGACCTCCTGTGGAAAACGGTTGAAGGAGCGTATCGCATTCTGAACGCTTCTAGACCTGAACTAACCAAGTCTTGCTGTCTCTGTCTAGATGCCAAACCACCATACTATGAGGGTTTCACAATTAAGGGCGATTATACAGCAGCCTCAACTACCAGCTCCTGCAGGTGGCAGCAAACTGCTGCAAGGTTGACCCTCCAGGCGGTGACAGGGCAAGGAACTTGTATAGGCAACGTCCCTTCTGAACAGTCACATCTCTGTAACGAAACTCTAGCTACCCCTAAAGCAGCAGCGTATCTTTTGCCCCCTGAGAATGCATGGTGGGCCTGTTCCAGTGGCCTCGCTCCTTGCATCCATTCCTTAGTCCTTAATTCCCAAAAAGAGGGTTTCTGCATACTTGTGCAGTTAATCCCTAAGCTAATATATCACTCGGGAGAAGAAGTTCTTAACAGAATAGACGCTATTAACTCCCGAAGCAAAAGGGAGCCTATTACTGCCCTAACTGTGGCAGCTCTCTTGGGACTAGGACTAGTGGGGGCCAGAACTGGAATATCCTCGCTTGTCATACAAGACAAGAACTATGGAGCCCTGAGAGCAGCCATTGACTTAGACATAGAAAGAATTGAGAAATCCATCACCCATCTGCAAGAATCCCTTACTTCCTTGTCTGAAATAGTACTCCAAAACAGAAGAGGTCTAGACCTGCTATTCATGCAGCAGGGGGGCCTATGTGCAGCTCTAGGGGAGGAATGCTGTTTCTATGTTGATCACTCAGGAGTTGTAAAAGAAACCATGGCCCTTGTAAGGGAAGGACTGCAGAAGCGAAAGCTAGAGAGGGAGCAGTCTCAGTCTTGGTATGAATTCTTGTTTAACTGGTCCCCATGGTTAACTACTCTTGTCTCTGCCCTCGTCGGACCCCTTGTAATCCTCCTAATGTTGCTAACTTTCGGCCCTTGTATTATTAACAAGTTAGTCCAATTTGTCAAGGAACACATAGGGATAGTTCAGTTAATGGTCTTGCAATCTCAATACCGGCCTCTGCCGACAGAGGACGAGATAGAAATGCAGCCCATCTCATAATTGAGCCGTGAGTTCCAAGACAAGGGGGAATGAAAGAACAAAGCAGAACTGACTATCCCCATACTTGTAGAGCTGGGTCTTCAGTCTGACACCCCCCCTGCCCCCAGGGAGTGACCACAAAGGTTT